CTAATAGTTATAAATATTAAGAACTAAAATTTAATAATTACAACTATTAAATTTGACCAATTTATATTTTAACTATTGTTGCACCTAGAATATTCACGATGATAGAAGAATATAAAGTTTAACTTCTTAGCTTTGTATGAAGATCCAACACACAATCAGATAAAAGAAAGAGTTTAACGTTCAAAAGAGATACCAAGATTTTTTACGTGAAAAATTCTAAAAATTAAAAAAACCATATGGTCTAACTCATCTTAAATGAATCCACAAGTATTTGCAGTTGATTACAAATAAGACCCTTCCTTACAGGGAAGGCAATGGCCCGAGGTAACAATTATAAATCACATATAGAGCATTACATGGTGGAAATTGGAAGAATCAAAATTGATATATTTGTTTGGTTGACAAGATCATAATCTGTTGGCGACGGAGATCGAAAAGATTATATTGAAGTTGCAGTTGTCAGAAGGAATGTAGTCGGCGGCAATGGAGGTCGTAAAGACCATTGTCTGGCGGCGAAGGTCGTAAGTACAATGGTTGGCGGGCGACGAAGATTAGAAAGACCATAGTTGAGTGGTGATGGCGGAAGGACCGCAGTTGGCGAGCGACAGATGTTGTAAATACTGTTTTCTAGTGATGGAAGTCGAAAGGATCGTAGTCGGAGGACGATAAAGGTCGGAAAGACTGTAATTGGGTGATTGTAGTCGGAAGGATCATAGTTGGCGGGCGACGGAAGTCATAAAGATAGTTGTCTGGTGAAAGTCCAATATGAATTGGAAGTTGGGTGTAAGTCCGACGTTAGTTGGCGGCTGGGCACAAATTCGGTATTAGTTGGTGGACGGGCGGAAGTCCGGCCTCGATTGATAGTCGGGTGGAAGTCCGGTGACAATAGGTGGCCGGGTGAAAGTCCAGCATCAGTCGGTGGACGGATGGATGTTTGGCGTCAGTCGGTAGCAGGGCAAAAGTTTAGCAGTGGTTGAGGAGAAGTCTGGTGATAAGATAATTCTAGTTTCTCTTCTTCATTCTCTTCCTTATTTCCTTACTTGGGTTATCCCCTTCGTCCTCTCTCCCATGAGGAATGAGAGGTCAATTTATAGTATTTTGAGAGTGGTATGACCGATAAATAAGAGGAAGATCAAGAGTATGCTATGAGTGGTTTGAATGAATGGTTGATATTGATCCCCTTGGTCAGAAATGATTTATTGGACATTTGAATATCTTAATAATGTCAAAATTCAACGGCCTTGGGTTCTTTGGATTCATCTTGTTGAGTTGCTTGAGTCGACTATATATATATGCATGACATGTTTGGAAACAATTTGGTCATCCAATTAATGATTTGAACCCGAAAAATGTATTTTGGGTCTTCGTTTTTGTCCCATTTGGGCTCAGATTGGGGCAATTGTGATGTCGTTGGGTTCGTCTTTTCGAGACGTTCAGTTTGACTATAAGTCTGCATAAATCTAAGTTCATATGCTCCTGGATTTAATTTCAGAAGCTTCCATCTTGATTTTGTCTCGAGATTCATGCACAATCAAGATAATTTTTTAATGATATTTCAACTATAAATTTATTTTTTAAAAAAAACTCAAATAATCACACTTTTAATCTAAAAATTTTAAAATTCAAATATTACACTAAAATTCGTATTTGATAAGATCAACTTTTCAATATATATAAAAAATAATATTATATAATTTACATAAATTACATCAAATAAAGAAAAATAAAATATAACAAACATCTCCAAATTAGGTGAGCCCCTAATTACCTGCTCCCTCCTCCGACTATGAATTTATCTCTTAAAAATGTAATTTTTAGGCTCAGCACATGGACGAACTTCCCGATGTCTGATTTTTCCAATCCCATGACCGGAGGACAAAAGCTCGATCGTACGATTCAGTCAATTAAAAAAACGAGAAAAACGTGCCACATGCCTCCTCCTTCCTCCTTCCTCCTCCAATCCCCAATATATCTATATTAACCCCGTCGTCCAATCCAACTTCGTCATTCCATCCGATAGCCCTGGATCGATCGACTGTCTCCATCGATCATGAGCTCCACTCGCTACGCATGGCTCCAGAAGGAGAAGCCACAACCCGAACAACAAGCACCTCTTCTCCTCCCCACTAAAGAAATCCCCGGCAGCTACGGCATACCCTTCATCTCCCCCATCAAAGACCGCCTCGACTACTACTACTTCAAAGGCCATGACAAATTCTTCCAGTCAAAAATCGACCAGTACTCCTCCACCGTCTTCCGCACCAACATGATTCCCGGCCCATTCATGGCCTCCGACCCCCGCGTCATTGCCGTTCTCGACGCCAAGAGCTTTCCCATCCTCTTCGACACCTCCAAAGTCGAGAAAAAAGACGTCTTTACGGGCACCTACATGCCCTCCACCAAACTCACCGGCGGCTACCGCGTCTGCTCCTACCTCGACCCCTCCGAACCCTCGCACACGAAAGTCAAGCAATTCCTCTTCAACCTCCTCAAATCCCGCAAGGACTACTTACTCCCCGCCTTTCGCTCCGCCTACGCCGCCCCAATCTTCTCCTCCGTCGAAACCCAAGTCGCCTCCCACGGCCAGGCGAACTTCAACGATCTCAACAACGACATCGCCTTCGATTTCCTCGGCAAGGCTTATTTCGGCAAGAGCCCCTCTGATGTGGGCGCGGCCGGGCTGCAGAAAAAGGTGACGATTTGGCTCTTGCTTCAACTTGCCCCCCTTGCCAGCAACGTTTTGACAAAGCTCCACGTTCCGAAGCTCGTTGAAGATTTTCTCTTGCACACCTTTGCTTTGCCGTCGTTCATAGCCAAACCAGGTTACAAAAGCATGTACGATTACTTCAACACGGCTGGATCTGCGGCGCTGGATTTGGCGGAGAAGGTTGGGCTGTCGCGCGACGAGGCTTGTCACAATCTGATCTTTGCGACTTCTTTCAACACCTATGGTGGGTTGAGGGTGCTGTTTCCTGGGCTGCTGACGAGGCTGGCGCAGTCGGGGCGGGATTTGCACGGGCGGCTGGCGACGGAGGTGCGGCAAGCGGTGGCGAGCCATGGGGAGAACGGGCAGGTGACGTTGGGGGCGCTGGAGCAGATGGAGCTGGCTAAGTCGGTTGTCTACGAGGTGCTGAGGATTGATCCGCCGGTGGAGTTCCAGTACGCGCATGCTAAGAAGGATTTCCTGCTGCAAAGCCATGACGCGCAGTTTCAGGTACTAAGGCCAAGGATTTTAATATTATGGAATTTATTTTTTATGAAGAATTTAAATTTTAAAAAAATATATAATAATTTTTCAAGATTTTCTAGTTGGCGATTTGGATCGGATTGAAAAAAAAAAAAAAGATTGGTTGATTTAGACCGGGGTTTTTTGAATGAGAAGCATAAGGATTTTGATATATATATATTGAGCCTGTGGCGAACACATTAGGGTGAATTTATGGATATCTCAACCGCTTGTGCCGAGCACAAAAAGGTGGGCCCGGTCCGACCCGACTCCCGCCCCGGGCCCACCCGACCACACGCGACTAACTGAGTCGTCGTCTTCTTCCAGGTGCGCAAGGGTGAGATGCTGTTCGGCTACCAGCCTTTCGCCACCAGAGACACGCGCGTGTTCGGAGCCAACGCCGGCGAGTTCGTCCCCGACCGCTTCGTGGGCCCCGACGGCGCCAAGCTCCTCCGCTACGTGTGGTGGTCCAACGGACCCGAGACCGAGGAACCGACCGTCAACGACAAGCAGTGCGCCGGAAAGAACTTCGTCGTGCTCGTCGCCCGCCTCTTCGTCGCCGAGTTCTTCCTCAACTACGACTCTTTCACCGCTGAAATTTCCGGCTCTCTGGTCGGCTCGCAGGTCAACATCACTTCTCTCACTAAAGCCAAGGCCAAAGCAGGTAATTTTTATTAATTAATTAGTGAGATAATGGGCTTTTCTGTGCTGTGATGTAATGAAATGGTTGTTAAGTCTTGCTATGGGGTCGTTATTATAATATTTTGAGTTTTAAGCTGCTTGAACATGTTTCTGATGTGTAATAAAGATATGCTAGTTTGCATATTCGAGAGGGTTCATTAAGGAAAAAAAAATCTTGGGTTGCAAAAATGGAAAAAGAGAATGGGGGCATTAGATAATTTCTAATTTGTGTAAGATTTTGATTGATGGAATTATTTTGCAAATTGGATCAAAAAATAAATGAAAACTAGAAGATTATTTTTAAAATTGGATCAAAACATTTTTAGTATTTCAATGTGATGCGGTGCATTTTAAGCTAGAATTGTTTTCCTTAGGAACACCTTACCTAGTTTCTAGAATACTCTTTTAGTTTTATAAATATGAGTGCATTGTAGGAGGAGGAGGGTATTGAATGATATTATCCCCTTTTTAAAGCTTTGAAAGCTTCTTCTTCTTCTTTCCTGGATTGGGAAAATCCAAATCCTTCTTGCAGGTTGCATCTTCTGATATAGTGGATTGTCGGAAGATGGATTGTCAGAAGATGCGACCTGCAAGAAGGATTTGGGTTTTCCCAATCCAGGGAAGAAGAAGAAGAAGCTTTCAAAGCTTTAAAAAGGGGATAAGATCATTCAATGTCCTCTTCCTCCTACAATGCACTCATATTTATAAAACTAAAAGAGTATTCTAGAAACTAGGTAAGGTGTTCCTAAAGAGAACAATTCTAGCTTAAAATGCACCGCATCACAATGCCCTCTTGATTAAGGCTTCGTTTGGGACGATTTTTTTACTGCTTCTGAAAATAATTTTCTAGTACAAAATTTTTGTACTAAAAAATTGCTTTCTAAAGTAGTAAGAAAGCTGACCAAAATGAACCCTAACTAGGGTTTGTACGATTCAGCTTGTCTTAGCTGCATGTTGACTATATAAGTATGCAAGATTTGAAGATTATTTGACTTTTTTAATTATTATCTAAACATTTTAAAATATATTTCTATTGCTTGGTCTAAGCTTATTTAGGTTTTATTTGGGACAGCTTTCTTACTATTTTTTAAAATTACTTTCTAGCACAGAATTTTTCGCACTAAAAACTTGTTTTAGAAAGTAGCAAAAAAACTGTCTCAATCGAAGCCTTAGACTCGGATTATATCACTTTAGAAGTAGTTGGTCTTTATTTGATTAAGACACAATTTAATTATAAATTTATTCAAATTGCAGATAATTTTAAATTTAAAAAATTAATATAAATAATATATTAAGATTTGTGTTAATCAAATTTTTTTTTTAAAGATGTATCGTCATTAAATATTAATTAGTAATAAACTATCACTATCTACAATAAACTCTAAACTTTAAATCCGTGGCGGAGCCAGAAAATGTATTTAAGGGGGGCCTAAATTATTATTTTTTATTTTCCTTCAAATTTTTACATCTGGACTTGGGATCAAAATAGTCTGAACCTTTTGATAATCCAAATTATGGTTTAAACCTTCTAAATATGCTTTGAGTCTTTGATTTGGAGTCATTTGGGTTCGGATTGAGTCAAATTTGGTGTCGTTGTGTTCGCATTTTCGAGACGTTCAATTCGATTGTAAGTTTGCTGAAATCGGAGTTCATATGGTCTCCGATTTAATTTTTGAAATTTCCTACTTGGTTTTTTCTCTATATTCCCTTTTTTCTCATTTTTTTTAGGGGGGTCACGTGCCCCCCCTTGGCTCCGCCAATGCCTAAATCTTAATTACATAGTCCTAAGGTGTGGAACCATTCTTAAGAAAAATTATTTTGTGCGAACATCGGACGTCATTCGGAGGTAAATCAGAACACTCCACATCACATTTTTGCTTGGTACTGGTGCTGGGTACCAAGTGACATGACGCGTTTTAATTAGCCTCCGAACTGTCTGGTATCCGTACATATAATTTCTTGGCTAATAAAGGCATCTTACTTTATGCTAGGGTTTTTTATGTTGCAACATCATAAGTTTTTTTTTGGGAAAAAAAATATTAATATTTACAGATGTGTCACTTGATGTTTGCAGATTAATCAATAATTCAATAACTAGAAAAGTTTTTCTTCTTTCATGTCTCTATCATCTTTATGTCTTTCTATCTTCTTTATTGCTTTTCCAATTCTACAACAAACTTTCACATATATTGCTACTACGCATTAATATGCAATTTCAAAATTAAATGAGGCTTCAAATGTAATTTAAGATTTATCATAAAACAAAATTTCATAATCTTTAATTTTATAATATTTCCTAAAAAACTTCGTTAATATTTAGAATTTTTTTTTCATTTTAATTTTGTTTGTATTTAGAAAATATTTCAATAAAAAAATTTCAATACTTTATTATTATATTTTCAACGGTCGTGATTGCAAATTAGGATCTTAGGGCGTACACATCAGGAGATGTAGTTAATCATGGTCAGGTTAGCTAACCAAGGTCTTCTTGGCGTTAGTGAGGGAGGCACATTTGGTGGGGACAGGGGAGGGGTGATCGTACACTAATATTAATTTTTCCATCTATAAAGTCGCATCTTTAAGGGGTATTTGTATTTTTTAAGAAATAATATTATGAAAAATGGATTAAAATTTTTTAAATCTATTTTAAAATAAATAAAATTAGAAAATGATATTTCCTTATTAGATTTAAACGATAATTTGACTTTTAATATGACACAATAGAGAAAAATGATTCATGTAGTCGACCCTACATAATGGAATAAAAGCTTAATGTTGTTGTTGTATTTTAAAATAAATAAAATATAAATTATTTACATATTATAATATAAAGCCATAAATTCGAGATCGAGCTTATAGTCAAGGTCGCATTATACGTGCCAAGCTCGAGCCTAATAATATGATAAAATATATACTAAATATTCTTAATTATCTCCCAAGTCAAGCTTGACCTTTCTTAACGAGCTTGAGTAAATGAGGCTAGCTCGAGCCTAATAATTTTCAAATGAGCTGAGCTCAAGCTCACGCTCAGCAAAAATTAAACAAGTGTAACTTGATTAGACAGATACTAGATTAGTTAAGAAAGTTCATTGGAGAGCAAGCATCAAGCATTGTGAGACTGGCATGTGAAGAGAAGAGGATTTCGTGACATGAGTTCACTAAGGGCTTGTCAATAGAATTGGCGGTGTGTGGGGAGAAGAGGATTTCATAATGGAAGCTCACTCGAGGCTCGTCAATGGGATCGGTGATATCTGAAGAGAAAATGATTTCACAAGAGCTCAGTGAGTGTGCATAGTAAAAACATAGTACAGTTACTATTTATAACTATGATTTTTTTTTTTTGATATTTAGGCCATTAAAGGCAAACTCACACACATAACGCAAACACAAAGACTCGAACTCAAGACCTCTTAGTTAGAAGCCTAAGCTCTCAACCAACAAGCTAAGATGAGCTATGTATAACTGTGATTTTACTGTGCACACTCATAAAAATTGGATACATACAATTTTGATCCGACATCCGCATGTAATAATGTCTCCTGAATGCTCCATTAAATTCAATCCTACCTATTAGAGGGACCTTTGATCATCCATCCACGTGTGATCAAACTCTGTCACAACGGCCCATACCTAAATTATTGCACTGCAGAAAAAATTTAAATGCAATCACCAAAATAATACTTATATAATATTATACATTATATTAATCTCAAAATAAATTAAAAGACTTTTTAACGCTTCTTAACATAAATTACTATAGAATAATCTTACATAATTTATTTCCAATTGAGATCATTGTCCCTCCCAAATGAGCTCAAAAGTATAAGAAATTATTCTATCGTAGATTGGACGTAGAACGTCATTCGGAGATCAACCAGAATGTGCCACGTCAGTAATACCAAGTTGCGGTACCGAGCAATACCGAGTCATAGTACCGAGCAAGAGGTGACATGGCGCATTCTGATTGATTTCCGGATGACGTTCGGCATATACACAGAATAATTAATTCAAAGGTACACCTCAAATCTCATCTTCTATGGACCCCACTCCAACTAATTCTTATATATATATATATATATATATATATATAGTTAGTCATGCGCTTCAAACGAGTGTCTCATATATATACTAACATTATACTTGTAGTAGCATCAGTATCAATATCAGTAATAGTATCAGTGCAGTACATTAAATTAATAAATGGTGTCATCAATAACAGTATCGGTATCCATATTAGTATCAATAAACCCGTAGCAATAACAATACTTCTATACAAGATAATTGGATCTTTACTTTACCTAACAGCTAGCCGACCCGATATCTTGTTTAGTGTTTGCTTATGTGCTAGATTTCAATTAGATCCAAAAGGATCACATTTGACAGTAGTGAAAAGGATTTTAAGATATCTATTAAGAACTCAGAACTTAGGAATTTGGTATCATAAGTTTAGCTTTTCATTTGAAATAATTGGTTATTCAGATTCTGACTTTGCAGGATATAGGGTGGATAGGAAAAGCACTTCTTGAACATGTCAATTCATTGGAAATTCTTTAGTCTCTTGGTCTAGTAGAAAATAAAATTCAGTAAACCTATCTACTGCAGAAGCTGAACATTGCATTAGGAAGTTGTGTGGCACAATAATGTCTCAATAACATGCATTTCAGTAGTCACACTAAATAAATAAGAAATCTTGGCTTAATCGATGTTTTTCTCAGTATCGTACTGATATCAATAAACCGTTGGCTCAGTAAATAGAGTTGTCGCTCTTTGCCTGTTTGCACAACAACCATTTCTTTATAACTCTCAATCAATATCATGTGAATCAATAAAGAATAACATCAAACCACATATTTAAAAGAAAACTCGTCGGTCCACCATCATGTAAAGGTTAGTCGGTCTCCAGCCAACCTAGTGAAACCATCCTTTTATTTTATTTTTCACACACTAATATAACTTTTTTTTTTAATTTATTTTCAATGCTTGTATTAACAATATGCTCAAATAAAAAAGCATACTACTATTCAGGAAAAATTATATAAAATTAAATAACTTCTATTTTATATGGTAAAATTCAGAAATATTACAGTCAAAATCTCAAGAATTATCAAAACGATATCATATAAAAAGTTGCATAGAAGAAGTTCAATAAATTAAAAATAAAAAATAAAATTAATTATTATGAGAATCAA